TTTTTTTTTTTTTTTTTTTTTTAGTGGGAGTCTCACTCTGTCACTCAGGCTGGAGTGCAGTGTCATAATCACAGATCACTGCAGCCTCGACCTCCTGGGTTCAGGTGATCCTCCTGCCTCAACCTCCCAAGTAGCTGGGACTATAGCCACACGCCACCACGCCCAAATAATGAGATGAGGTCTCATTATGTTATCTATGCTGGTCTTGAATTCCTGGGTTTATGCAATCCTCCTGCCTTGGCCTCCCAAAATGCTGAGATTACAGTCGTGAGCCACTGTGCCCAGTCTCCCCTTTCTTTATAAGGAATTCCACCATATCCCACGGTTTCAGTTTAAGAAAGAGAGGCCGGGCGCGGTGGGCTCATACCTATAATCCCAGCACGTTGGGAGGTCGAGGTGAGAGGATTGTCTGATCCCACGGGTTTGAGACCAGTCTGGGCAACTTGACCAGACTTCATTTCTACAATAAATCAAAAAATTAGCTGGGTGTGGTGGCACATGCCTGTAGACCCAGCTACTTGAAAGGATTGCTTGAGCCCAGCAGTTTGAGGCTGCGGTGGTCATGAATGTGCCACTGCACTCCAGCCTGGGCGACAGAGTGAGAGATTCTGACTCAAAAAAAGAAAGAAAAAGGGGAGAAACTCTTGTCTTATGATGTTAGGTCCAGCTCCTCACACCACAAGAGCTGGGAATTGCAACAACTTGGCCAGACCTCTGGAGCTCATGGTGGAAACACACGGAGAGGCCAAGGCAGCCACTAAACAATATGCTCTTCAGCTTCCAGCTCTGCTCCTTGCAGGTTACTGGGCCACCCCGCCCCAGGGAGCTGTTCACTCCGAACTTTATTCCCCAAAGAAACAGACCTGCACAAGGGTGCCTTTGTTACGGCCTCACCCAGGCCAGGGAGTCCTCAGTGGATAAGCGAGGGAGGCCAGGAACTGGAGAGACAAGGCAGGTTCAGGAATGCTGCCTTCCCCAAGGCCTCCTTCCCACCCTGCCCCCTCCCAGAACTTTCTAGGTCTCACCAACTACTCAGTCCATAAGGCCTCCCACGGAGGAGCTCAGCCTTTGTCCATAAGGGCAGCCCTGCCCAGTGAGTACTCACGACAGGCAGGTGGCCTTGGAACATTTGTTCCCCAAGCCTCCTCGTTTAATCCACTCATCACCTAGACAGGTGCTGTCATTGTCCCCATTTTCCGGACGAGTTAGCTGAGGCTTAGAGAGACAGGCGCTCACAGTGGCAGGACTGGGCCTGAAGCCAGAGCTGGTCTGGGTTCGTGACCACAGCCCCACACAGTCTCTTCCATCTGATTCTCATCTGCTGGGAGATGGGAAACTGAGGCTCCGAAGAGAGAGAGGAATACAGACACTCTCTGTAGTAGGGGAAATGGGGAGGAGAGAGGGCGAGTTGGGTCCTAGGAGGTGGGCATCGTTACAGGGGGCTGAGCAAACCCTGGAACCGACAGGACAAAGCCATGTATCTTCGAGGCTGGGTGTCCCTAAGACCCCAGTCCGCAGGCACCTCCCACAGCAGCCCATTCTGGGGCGAGAGATGAGGATATCACGATGATGCCTAGGTAAGTGGGTTCGTGGCCCCTTACATGCCGACCTGCTCCAGTGATCTCGCAGGAACCCTCCAGGTGCAGTCCACTTTCACCCCCAAATGAGGGCTGGATGGATGGGGTAGATACCAAAAGCCAAAGCGAGATCTGGCTGCCCAGGGAGGCAGAGTGAGGCAGCTGCAGGTTTTCACAAGAGGAAGAGGAACCGAAAGCGCCAATGTGTGCAGGAGCCGGGAGAGGTTACGGGTTATCGACCACAGTTTCACTGGGACGCGGCCCAAGCGGAGGAAGGGGAAGTGGGGAGGCTGGCGGGAACTGGCTTTCACTGCCCAGAGGGAGCCAACCCTGGGCAGTGGGCACCCCCTGCTGGACGCCCAGCATGCGCGGCGAGGTGGGAGGAAGTGGCTTAAAGTCCCAACTCCCCTCCTTCCTGCGACGGGTGCAAGTTCAGGCCAGGCTGAACATTAACATCACTCACAGTCGACTGGCTTTTATTACAGACTTAGTGCAGTGACTGATGGGCAGAGAAGCAAAAAGAAACAGCTCAGACCAGGCTCAAAGCTGGGGGATACACAGCCCCCAATACACAAGTGGGGTGCAGCGTTTCACACATGCACATGAACACACACGCACACACATGTGAACTCACAGGAGGCACAGCCCAGGGCACAACAAAGGCAAGGGAGGTAAGGGCAGCCAGCACCCTTCCTGCAGGTGGCACAGGGCTAACATGCTTTCCTGCGCTCAGAGTCGAGGGGGATCCACATAAGAGAGCCACCCTTAAAGGGGCCCTGTCAATAAGCCTGACAGAAGTACACACCCATACAGTCAAAGAAAGCACAATTTAGAGAGTTGCAAGTTCAATGCCCACCAGAGCAAATAATAGTCAGAGCTCTGATCCTGGCTTAGTCACAGCAAACATTTACCCAGTCTGGCTCCTTTCCATAACCAGTAGGCAGCTTGCTCATCCAGGGCATCCCTGGCCAGCAGGCTTGTGCTCACGGAAAGCAAACAGTTCAGCACAGGACTCAGCCCAGGGTCACAGATAGTGAGATGGAAAGTCCTGGGTTTAGAGGATGGATGAGGCCAGCACATCCGGTCACCATGGGTTCTCCATAAAAGGAAGAATCGGATTCAGTGGGCCGGGGGTCTGTATCCTTACAGGCTTCCAAGTGATGCTGGTACTCCTGGAGAGTGGTCCACACTGTGAGTAGCAAGAGTCTAGACCAGGATGTTTCAACCTGGGCTGCACAGAATTCCTGGGAAGCTTTTAAATGTCCCAGTGCCCAGGCTGCACTCAGATCAGTTCAGCATCTCTGAGGGTGAGACCTAGACATCAGGCTTGTTAAAGCTCCCCAAGTAATTTAGCATGAGTGGAAACCAGTGATCTAGGAATCATCAACAGTAGAGGTGAGATACATTCAGTGTCTGAAAAGCAAAATCTCTATAATAATTTAATTGTATATTTGGAAAATGAAACGTATACACACACACACACACACACACACACACACACACACACACACACACACACACAGATCATAAACAGATGGACAGTGAAGCCTGATTAAAATCTTCCCAGCCTGTTGGTACCAATACATGAATCCCTTTTACAAAACTCCTGAATGACTGGGATTGAAAACCTCTTGTGGTTGGGTATGGTGGCTCACACCTATAATCCCAGTTCTTTGGGAGGCCGAGGTGAGAGGATTGCCTGAGCCCACAGGTTCGAGACTAGCCTGGATAACCTGGCAAGACTTCATCTCTACAATAAATCAAGAAAAATTAGCTGGGCGTGGTGGCACATGCCTATAGTTCCAGCTACTTGGAAGGCTGAGGTAAAAGGATCACCTGAGCCCAGCAGGTCGAGGCTGCAGTGGCCATAGCATGCCACTGCACTTCAGCCTGGGAAACAGAGTGAGACTCCAACTCAAAAAAAAAAAACTTCTTGTGACAGCCCACTTAGGCAGGTCTGATTGTATGAAGCCTCTCCCCACAATGAGACGAAAGCTACTTCCAGGTAACTTCCACCTTCCCTTTGAGCTACAGAGAATACATTTAAACTCTTTCCCACATTGCTGTCTTTCAAATAATGAAAGATTGCAATTGGTAGACATGCCGTAAAAATATCCTACCAGTAAACGAGTTAGTTAAGGTTCTTTTAGTTGTAAGCAACAGAAATCAAGTCTAGCTAGTTCAAGTCTAGCTAGTGAAATTAGTGGGGTGTTTTGAGGCAGGTGGAGGCATTGCACAGCTTAATTAGGGAAAGGGTCCAGGGTGATTCAGGGAATTCCAACAGCAGCAGCCAGAGGCTGTTGTTTCTTGGCTACCATTCGTGACCTGGCTTCAATGACTTCCAAGGTTCTGGATCTCTCCATTTCAAATTTCAAATTATTATTATTATTTTGAGTAGGAGTCTCACTTTTTCGCCCAGGTTGGAGGGCAGTGGCACACTCATGGTCACTGCAGCCTCAACCTGCTGGGCTCAGATGACCCTTCCATCTCAGTCTACCAAGTAGCTGGAACTACAGGCATGCACCACCATGCCCAGCTAATTTTTTGATTTACTGTAGAGATGAGGTCTTGCCAAGTTGCCCAGGCTGGTCTCAAACCCATGGGTTCAAGCAATTCTCTCACCTGGGCCTCCCAAAGTGCTGGGATTAGAGGTGTGAGCCACTGTGCCCAGCCTCAATTTTCAAATTACTGACAATTTGATTGGCTAGATTGGCTCAGGTGCCTATGCTGGGACCAATAAGCTTTGACCAGTATGACTCCCATGGTAACTGACAGGGCTGCAGGGTTCATCCTGTGTCACCAGCTGCTACACTTAGAGGGAGTTATTCCAATAAATCATAGGTAGGATCAAGAAAGTAATTATGGAATGATTTCCCATTTGTGATTCTCTATGACACGGCTACTGTCCACTTGACCACCTGAGAGCCAACTGAGAACTGGGAGGATGAGCTCTGAACAGCCCTACATACAAGAAGTGAAATGGCTGGGCTCGGTGGCTCAGCCCGTAATCCCGCGCCTTTGGGAGGCCGAGGTGAGTGGATTGCCTGAGCCCGCAGGTTCGAGACCCGCCTGAGCAGGCGAGACCTCATCTCTACAATAAAAATCAAAAAATTAGCCGAGCGTGGTAGCGCGCGCCTGTAATTCTGGCTACTCGGAAGGCTG